AATCTACTGATGGGCACTTGGGCTATTTCTAGATCTTAATTATTGTAATAACACTGCTATGAACATAGGAGGAAGGAAGAGAGAAAGAAAAGAAAAAAGAAAAGGAAAGAAAGAGAGAGAAAGAAAGAGAGAGAGAGAGAGAGAGAAATACATTGATGTGAGAGAGAAGCATTGAATGGTTGCCTCCCACACATGCTCGACTGGAGATCAAACCCACAACCTGGTTATGTGCCCTGACCAGAATCGAACCTGCAACCTTTCATTGTACAACCAACTGAGCTACATCATCCAGGGCTCTATTCTTAATTCTTGAATTTCTGATTCAAAGCATTTTTCTTAAATATCTTCAAATGCTTAAGTTTGGGATATGGCCTTATAGTTGTCTTCTTCTTTATGGTTATTTTTCTGGGTAATATTTACTGTGATTGATAGGTATAGAATTTTGTTTGCTCATTTTTACTATTAACTCTACATGGATATGTTAATTTTTATCTTGATTTTTGTGGTATAGGGGTGTTTTACAGATTCTGTTTAATGGTGCTCTCCCTATCAGTACAACAATGTTCAGATATTTTAGTAGATGTTTTATGTTTTCTTGTGAGGGGAGGAGTTGTGAGTCCTCCAGTTTAGGGTTCTGTTTTGCCTTTTGTTCCTTTTCCCCTTTTCTACTAGATTAATAAAGGATGCTCTTCCTCTTCCCCCCCCCCACTACTCACCCCTCCATATCCCCTTTCCCGAGCTCCTTCAAATTGCTTGGTTTTAAAGTCCCTTCCTTGTTGTCACTGAGCCCCTTTGTAGACTTTTCAGACTCAGAATGGCCATCTTTTTCTTTGTGATGGTTTTATGTTGAACTTATATGTCACTTGCTTCCCTCTGTGTTCTCCAAAATTTTTCTCAGTGAGCCCTTAAGGAGTGGGAACATGGGACTCCCTACACTGGGAATGGGTCATTGCCCCTTTTTATTACCACCTGTTATAAAGTTTGATCATTCTCTGACTTCAAGTTATGAGGGCTAGGGTAATGGTTTCGTTGTATAATTTCCCTTCTTTTTGTTCTGTATTGTTTTGGGAGGAAATATTGGAACATGGGAACTACATTTCAGCATTGTCTTTAATTATCCATAAGTCTCACTGACTCTGGTTTATTTTCTAAATGCAGGTATGAATACGTTCTCAAACACAAATGTATCTATGTGAAAACTCTAAAAAAGACAAAGCAAACATGCTTGAGTCATTATTAGAATTAGATGAGTTTATTCGGATGGGACCCTCTTGATGGGATTAGTGCCCTTATGAGAAGAGACACCAGAAAGTTCCCCTTCTCTGTGTACACTGGGAAAGAAAAAGTCATGTGAGCACACAGAAAAATGTCAGATGCCTACAAGCCAAGAGAAGAGGCCTCAGAATGAAACCTACTTTGCTAGAATGTTGATCTTGGACTTTCTAGCCTCTAGAATTATAGAATCTGTTCTTAACCTTTTGGGTGTATTTCCTTTTAAAACATTTTTTGTGTTTAACAAATGGATAGCACTTTAATATATATTTGTCATAATTTATTTACCCAATCTTCTATTAAGAGATATTTTCACCTATCCAATTATTCACTATTATAAACAAAGCTGTGATAAATAATCTATGAGTGTGAGTATATATGCAAATAGCACTGTTACTATTCTAGTCAACTTATTTTATAGTATTACAAGCAAAAGTAATTAGAGAAGGCAGTATGTGACATGTTTGAAAAAGATTTTCATCAATATGAGTATCCATTAAATGTTCTGTATAGATAATGCTCACTTTCTGGCTAGTACAGTGCAGATATTCTCTGGGCATTCAAATGTGCAGTTTGCAAAACAAGTTAATTATGCTGGAATGTGGGATCTGCCTTAATAGTCCTTTAACATCACAGAAATGTAAAGAAACGGTCTTGCAGACTATAATTTTTAGCATTGAAAATTGCTCATAATATACCTCCCCCAGATTGAATTATTCTGTAATTAGTGTTCAGGCTCTACATAAAAAGCATGTGAATATATAATTGTAACTGTAATCACATACAAACACAGGTGGAAGGAATTTTCTAATATATTAATGTTTTCTATTGGAAATTATATTTTCTGTTGTCCTTTTTCAAAATTATTGACCTTTCTATTTACAAGAGATGTGAAAGATGCCATCTTAACCACTAAATAAATTTACATATAAACAATCATCATCTTACGTGGACATGTTACTCTTGGAACAGATTTTTAGACTACAAACTCCTAAGGACAGTAAACTGTGTGTTCCATATTTTTTTACTTAGCTATAATTGACATACTATATTAGTTTCAGGTGTACCACATAATGATTTAATATTTGTATGTATTGCAAAATGACCTCCAAAGTAAGTCCAGTTAACATCCATCAGCATACACTTAGAAAAGTTTTTAAATTTTTTTTAATTTAAAATTTATTTATTTATTTATTTTTAGAGAAAGAGAAGGTTGGGGGAGAGAAACATCAATTTGTTATTCCTCTTATTTGTGCATTCATTGGTTGATTTTTGTATGTGCCTTGACCAGGGGATCAAACTCACAACCCTCGCATATCAGGGTGACACTCTAACCAGCTGAGCTACCCAGCCATGGAAAAAGTTTTTTTGCCCTGTGATGTAAACTTTTAAGATCTCTCTTAGTAACTTTTAGATATACAATACAATATTATTATAGTACCTATCTTGTACATTATATCCCCATGATTTATAGCAGGGAGTTTGTACATTTTAACCACCTTTACCCATTTCACCCATCTCCATTCATACTTTTATCCCTGAATATAACTGAATGAAGACTGTGCTTTGCAGCATTTAGAACTGTCTTCTAGGCCTTAAATGTCATAGTCATAGTACTTTGTTTCAAGGTCAGAGAGTTACTGAACCATACTGTTCTTTTCTAAAATGAGTGGATTGGACTACATCTACATTTAGCCATGCCTTTTACCCATGATTCTGTAAATTTTAGCTAAGTACTCAGCATTCAGTATAGAAGTGTGTTTAATTTCTTATTCCCCCTCACCCCCTCCTCTGCTTCATTATTTTTTTCATTTCATATATAGCTTTTTATCATACTTTTTAGAAGATTCTGTTGAATTTTTAACCAGTTTTTATAACCTTTCCCTAAGGTATACCCATCTGTCAACAGCACTTAATCTGGAATAACGTGGAACTTGAAGATGATTATTGCTTAAATGATTACAAGTGAGTGTAATTGCATATTAGCTGATTTACAGATTCAACATTATGACTTCATATAGTACCGTTGTTTTTCTTCTGAATCCTTGGATCATGTCTCCTCTTCTGAATAGTTCTATTTCCTAGATTTCATTGTAAATCCTGAACTAAATAAACTGATGAACAAAATAGAAACAGAGGCATGGACACATGGAACAACTGTCAGAGGGGAGTGGTGAGGGAGGACTGGATGAAAAAAGGTGAAAGGATTATCCAGAAAACATATATACATAACACGCAGACACAGACAACATTGTGGTGGTAGAGGGAAGGGGGGGTAGGTGGAGGTGGGCAGAGGAGGAGACAATGGGGATGGAAAGAGGCTTTGCTTGGGGTGATGGGCACATGATGCAGCGTGCAGGTGATGTGTTATTGAGTTGTACACTTGAAACCTGTATGGTTTTGTGAACAGTGTCACCCCAATAAATGCAATAAAAAAAAAGATGTGTTGGCTCAGTACCCCATACTACCTGATCCTTTCCTTTGAACCTTTGTTTTACTTTTTCATTACTCTAAGCTATTCTCCTTCCCTTTTAGATCTTTCTCTTCTCATCTTGTGTTCTTGCTTCTTTCTTTGAATATTGAACCCTTTCCCACCTGGCTAGGCTTCTTTTCTTTCCATTTTCGCAAGTATTGGGTGAGAGAGCACTGCTCTTCACCAAGTCTTTCACTTTTCATTAAGCCCTTCTTCTGTTACTAAGTGACACTGTATGCAACAGTGATTGCAGGTATTATTGTCTGACTTTTTATCTTTTTATCTCCCTCCTCTCACATAAATCACTCTTAGGAAAAGAGCAAAATGTCAAAGACAATGTGGAAGAGCATTGGGAGACCTGTACATTTGCTGTTTTTCTGTTTCCTATTTTATTAAATATATCTGCTATTTTCTAACACATTGGGTCTTGAACAAGCTTTTCTTGTTGGGGACTTTTTTTCCTTACATGTAAAATGAAGAGGTTAAACAGCATGATCACAGAGGTCCTTTCCAGTACCTTTATTCTGAGATTTCATGTCGTATTTAAGGGTTATGAAAACTTCTTCACTTTTTCATTATTTATATAAGTAAATAAGTTAACATTTTATATTTGTGCACATTGCTATATCCTTACATTCTAGAAGACAGGCACTATGCCTGGTAAAGCAGAACATAATTACATATATGTTTAACAGTGAGTGCGTTTTGATGATTGTAGTTTATTTTTGTGTTAACTATCCACAGCATTGCAGAAGGCTGTACCTTGAAGCTGGTATTGGCTATGCGTGGTGGACCTATAAATACTAGAAGAGGTAGGCATATGTTAAAATTATGTATATTAAAGTAATTTGACAATAACAATCTTTAAGCCAGTTGGTATCCTTATGTTTTGTAGTAAGGTTCTCTTTCGGCTATTAGGTTTTAGAAGAACCACATTTTTCTTTCTAGGCATTGTTCTTTAAAGCCTAAATGAACAGAGGTAGGAACTCCTTTCCAGAAAGTCTAACTATTCGTGATTCAGTTCAGGGAGATTTAAAAATAAGCATCATCAATATAGGGAAGGGAAATTGATGCATAGTACAGATGTTGTTATTGTGTCTTGTTGCTTTTTTTATCCACTGATTCTTTAATTCCTGGGGTAATGATTTTTATAGAAACTTCCAGGATGTCTGTTAGCCTGGTCTGTGATGTATTTGGATTTCATGGGTATTATCATGGCCCTGTTGAATCCTTTTTCAGAATGTGGGCAGTCCCTGGGAGTTCGTTTGTTCATTCATTCATTCATTCATTCATTCATTCATTCATTCATTCATTCATTCATTCATTCATTAACTCAGCAAGTACCTTTTGAGCATCTAGTAGATGTTCAATGCAATATTTTATGAGAGAAAATGTCCCTACTTCATGAAAGTGCCCACAATAAATGTGTAAAGAATTGATGTCGCCCTAGCTGGTTTGGTTTAGTGGTTAGAGCATCGGCCCTCAGACTGAAGGGTCCCGGGTTGGATTCTGGCCAAGGGCACGTACCTCGGTTGCAAGCTCGTTCCTGGCCCCAGTCAGGGCATGTGCAGGAGGCAACCAATCAATGTGTGTCTCTCACATTGATTTTTCTCTCTCTCTTTCCCTTCTACTCTCTCTGAAAAAGCAATGGAAAAAATATCCATGGGTGATGATTAAAAAAAAAATTGATGTCATTTCAAGCAGTTGTAAATGCTGTGGAGGAAATAGGGTAGTGAGATAGTCTGTGGAAGCAGGGTGGTAGGAGGATGATTTTGGAAGGGTCCTGGGAGAAGGTGATGTGAGCAGAGACTTGGCTAACGAGAAAGTTCTATGCATGGGAAGAATGGGGAGTGTTTACATTGGTCTCTGATTCAGATATGCCACATGAATCCCACCAGATAGAGGCTTCCTTAGACTGCCCAGAGCAGTCCTCATTTGGGGGAAGGCCTTCATATTTATTTGAGCCTTCTTTAACCAGAAAACTGAAAGTTCACTATTGATTTCACTGCTGTCTTATTTCTTCCGCAAGTCAAATTTTATCTCCACGCTTTGAATTTTAGTTAGAAATTAAAGTTATTGCCATCTTTTACTAACTAACTACTTCAAGAGGATTTTGTGAGATATGTTATTTTGGCTGTTTAATTATTTTGGAAAAGATGAAAATAATGTTAGAGCTGATTAATTAGCATTCCCAATATCAGGGGCTGTCTATTAATTGGAACTTACGAAATTGTCCTATGTTGACATAAGTTGATGTCTGTAGTACCAATTCTGAGGTCAGTACAAAAACCCTAAAGCATTTCCTGAGTCATTATTGTAAGATAGAATTACATAATGTTTAATGACGTGAAATCCATTGTATTATATTTTTGAAAGTTGGTTATTAGTGTATACTATTTTCTTTAAACCAGGGTTTTAATCAGAGCACCTACTTTCCTTACTAGGACTAAAATTATTTTATGTTTATGAGAAGGAGTGTAAGTGATTCTGATTTAAAATATATGTACTTTTAAAACTTAAAAAAATTAAAATGAAAGGCATCACTGCCCTTTGATAATTGAAGCTTTGTAATACTTTTACCCCCCTGCAACTCTCTGTGCCTTATTTGTAAATTGAAAAATCAGCACTTAGAAATCGTCTGGGTTTTTTTTATATTTTAAATTAAGTTTTTAATAATTTTGCCTTTATTGAATCAACATTTTTAAAATTAAAAGCTTGATGTTTGCTACCTTACATCATTAAAAACTTTGTGAGCCCAGATCTAAAACTTCTCCAGTGGTATTTGAGAAACCATATTTTTAAAGCTATTTAGCCTTACTTGAAACTTATGATTTAGAAAGTACATTTATCATCTGAGTTCTGGTAATATTTGACTTTTAAAATTGTTTTTGAATTAACCATTATCAAAGCAGCATAGAAAATTCTTTCTAAAACTAAATTTTACCTTAAACTATATATGAAATGTTTTATACCTGGTGAAATCTAAATGATTTTTCTGTTATGAAAATGTGTGTGCATATACATACTCAAACCCCAGTGCCTCCCTAAGGAAGGTACACTGTGGATTTAAGTAGCTTTCATGTGGCATTAGTAATGGCAGTAGCATAGTTTTTTATTTCTCATGAACATAATGTGGAAAATACAGCATTAACTTAAAACTGGTAGGAACTTGTTTTCAAAATGTTTTTCAATATTTACCCATTTTGTACCTATGAAAGAGTCAATCAAAACATCCAAACATTTTTATAAAATAAGCTAAATCCTATTATATTTCTAAAGTTTTTGTGTTTTAGTAGTGGTGGTATTAAATTTAGGATATGGGAACATCTTTAATGTTTTTACCTTGTTACTTTCAGAGTTTAATATTTCTTATTGCTGTAACTTTTTAAAAGAGTAGTGCAGCAATGTGATTCTGTTAATATATAAACTACTTGAGTGAGAGTTATGGAGTTTGAGAAATTGTTGCCTCTTTAAGGAAAGAGCAAATGTTTCTTTAACTTGTCATGTCTTTAGGAACTAACTTTTTTCTTTTCCTGGAACCATTACTTAGATGCCCAAATGTGGAGTTCAGGGGATTTTAGAACATTCACCCTATGAGCCAGCAACCTCTCTAGGCCCATTCCCACTACAGGAACATAGTCTGTAGCTGCTGTGGACAAGAGTGGGCGGTAATGATGACTGCAATATCACCCAAACCTGAGGACATCTTCAACTTCTGGAGCCCATCGTTGTGAGGGCTTTGCCCCATTCCTTGTGTTCCGACTGGACACATGGATGTATTCTAGGACAAAGGAGGGCAAAGTTGGGCTCCTGGGAAGATACTTATAACAAACAATATTCTGACCCTTACACACATTGCAGTTTTAGTACATAAGTAACCCCCTTGTTCCTGAATTATTGTGTACTTTTTTTTGGTTTTGCTTTTTTTTTAAAATCCTCACCTGAGGATATTTTTCCCATTGCTTTTTCAGAGAGAGTGGAAAGGAGGGAGAGAAGGGGGGCTGGGGGGGAGACATCGATTGGTTGCCTCCCCCAGATTGAGCCTGCAACTAAGGTACATGCTCTTGGCCAGAATTGAACCTGGGACCTTCAGTCCACGGGCCGATGCTCTATACACTGAGCCAAACCGGCTAGGGCAGACCAGAAACTTTTCAAAGAATATCATATATATATTGTATGCACAGGGTTGTTGTTCAAATTTACCACATTATGTCCTGTCACTGTACCAAAATGCATAAAACTTGATATAAATTGAAAGCTTGTTTATAATTTTTCCATTTGTAGTTCCTATGGAAGACCCACTTAGGGAGATGGCTGAGTACATGGATTCCAGTCGAGATGAGGTCTGGGAGAAGACCTCCTACAACAAACAAGTTACATTTTTGGTATACCGGGAAGGAGAGCAATTGAATTTCTTTCGTGTAGTAGATAGGGGAGATGGCACTTTAACACCATTATCTGAATCTTTAAGGTAAATAAATAGGTTTTCATTTGCGTGTCTCACTTAGAAAAGGAGAACATTATACAATACACTCCCTAAACCTTTATGTTTACCTGGTTTAGCCAAAATAATCTTATTATATTCACAAGACTGACTAAATTTCATGCATTCTCCTCTACTCCTTGGGTGCCAGGTATGTGATTCTGAAATTGCCCTTCATATGATTGATACTTAGAGAATACTTTTTAAAACTGAAATTTTTTTATGGAATTAGATTTTTCATACAAAAGATTTATTTCTGTAACATTATGAAACTTTAAGATGCCTACTAGATTATAGAGTCTTATTATAATTGTGTGTTATTATAATAGAAAGGGTTGAACCTAAAGTTGCTATCTTTTTTCAGAATTTAACTCTCCTACTTAAAGGTGGATAAATCTTGCTTCGCTAGTCTTGTTTTTCTACTCTATAAAAGGGGAAAGGGTTGTTATATTACTTATAAAATTAGAAGGATACAACCTAAAGGTACTTAGCTAGACAAAACAACAATTAGAGAATTGGACAAGGTAACTTATGTAAGTTTTTATGCACTCCATCTTGCTATGATACTTTATTGCCTTTCACTTAAGTCACTAAACATTTACTGAATTTTTATAGCCAGTCTCTACATTAGACACTGGGTTACAGAGATAATTATTCCTTCCTCTTGAAACATACAGTCTGCTATAAATGGTATCTATAATATACTGTTGGCAACTGTTATAAAAAGATATCAACATCTCTGGAAAACCAGATGAGAGGGCCTTCATTTTGCCTGAAGGGCCGGGAGTTAGGGATAACCTCTGAGAAGAAGCAATTGTAATAGAGGAGGAGTTTGCCAAACAGAGAAAGGAACAGTATTACAGGTAACTGAATTTAATCCACAACATAAAAAGCTAGTGGCAGACCATTCACAGGAAAGATAACTTGTAGTCTGGAGAACACAGTTTCTGTGGGTCTGGAGTCTAGGCACAGTTTAGCTGGGTGCTCTGCTTGGGGTCCCACAAGCTGCAATCATGGTATTGACAAAGGTGCACTCTTATCTGGAGGCTTGATTGGGGAAGACAGTCTGCTTTCAAACTCAGTCACATTGTTGTCGTAATTCATTTTCTGGTAGTTTTATGACTGAGGGCCATGGTTTTTTGCTGACTATTGGCTAGAGGCTGCCCACAGCTCCCTTTTGATGAACTCTAAGTCAACTGATTTGGGGCCTAAATTACATCTGCAAAAATCGTTTAACTTTTTATCTATTCTGATGGCTAGATGTAAATCATAGGTCATGCCCACACTCAAGGGTAGAGTATACAGGGTGTGAAGGTCCTGGACCGGGAACCATGGGAATTCCTTTAAGATTCTGGCCGCCAGAGTGTTATGTGGAAGAAAGATTAGACTCCTTCTTTGTGGCTACAGAGAGCAGACTAACAAATGGGTGTTGACTGTTGACTCTAATGTGTCAGGATATGGTTAGCACTACAAATGTGGAATAAACATTTGGGCTTGAAGTTGAGGAGAGGGCACAGTGAGAACTGCAGCTTAATCTGGTGTCTCTTGCTTGGCCATGAATAGAATCTCTTTATACCAGTTTCTCCATGTGCTAGCTCACTGTTGTTTTGGTTTTCTTTCTGAAGAACATTCTCTTTTGGCTCTCCTTTCTTAAAGGAGAGAATCTAAACTCCCTAGCTTATCACGTAAGGACCTTTACTACCTTTCATCACCAGTTTTTTAGGTGTCTTTAATTTTGCCATGTTTTTCCACATCTATTTCCCTTTGCTTGAAAAGTCATTTTCTTTTTTCACTCCAATTTTTCCTCAGTCAACTTGTTACTGTTGTGTTTCAGACATTGTCTAAATGTTGTTGTGGATTTCAGTTAAAATTGTACAATTGTTCCTCTCAAGGCAATTTTTTATTTCTCTTTTCCTTTCTATGTACCTATCAGAATTGAACAAAAATAGAATGAACAAGAAAGGGGAATAGAAAACTTTCTGGTCATGCCTTGAAGGAAATTTGTCTTGCCTATTCTACAACAGGGGGTGGCAAACTTTTCTGTAAAAGGCCAGATAGTAACTATTTTAGGATTTTCAGGCTAAGAGATAAAATCAAGTGTAGGTACTTATATAATGAAGAGAAAAAAAATTTTTTCACAAGATTTTTCTGACAAAATTCAGAATATAAAAGTGATTCAGGTCTACTAATGAGAAGAATGGAATTCTATTTTGTGGGAACAATTTCGGGGGTAGAAAGCCAGTGTTGCCTATCAAATTTGCATAATCAGTTGCAAAAGTTCATTTCTTTAAAATCGATCTGTAATGACATTTTATATATTTTATCTTGGAAAGTTTCTTTCCACACAGATAGGTACTACCAAATACTCATAGGAGTTCATGAGTATGTGATTTTAATTGAGCATATTCATCACTTGGAAGGTGTTTATTGAATTCTGTTAGAGTCTACTGTTACTGTTTACCTATTTAAAATCTTTCTAAATAGGCTTTTAAATATGGAAATTTCCATCAACTTGCAGTGAGGTATAAAAATGCTGCTGGGAGTATACCTTGAGTTCAGAAAATATGTCTGTTGCAAATTTGTGTGGAAGTGGAGATCTCAATTAAAAAGAAATTTTTTTAATTGATTTGAGACAGAGAGAGAGACATTTATGGGTTGCCCCCCATACCCACCCCGACCAGGGATTGAACTTGCCACCTGGGCATGTGCCCTGATGAGGAATTGAACCAGTGACTTTTCAGTGCACAGGACTACATTGAACCAAACCACACCAGCCAGGGCTCACTTAAGTTTTTAACTTTGGAAATCATGACATTAGATGTGATCACAGTAATGCTAGTTGTAAAAATGATATTACTATAGTATAAATTTCTCACATAAGTACTGTTTTGCCTTGTAATATTAGATGGAATTCACTAAGAAACATTATCAAGCCCACAGCTAAAGCTAATTTCCAAAGGCATTTAGTGTTTGATATTAGCAGTTGAGGGTAGTTCTTTTTGCTCAGAAAAATTCAGTGTTAGCTCTGAGCTAAAAAAAAATCACAATAAAACTACTACTGTCAAGCCATTGAACTGATGGCTAAGTCCATGAGACAAATGAAGTTTACCATTGACATAAGTGGTTCAATAATACATGATAGATTCAAATATTGGCCATAGAATACCTGCTGATGAATAACACAATTGACAAAACCTATGAGTAACCATAGGTTTTAAACACCTTACATTTTCATTACCTTTGTAAATTTGTTCAACTAAGCTTTTTTTCTCTCTACACATATATATACTGCATCAATTGTAGCAGATTTCACTTCAAGTCGTACTAAATTAGTGTTTTAGCAACTTCTTTGAAAATATTCTTAACTCTAGTTTTATGCAGCCTCTTCAAAGGGGCTAATTTTTCACTCACTTCAAACTTGGTATTTTTATTTTTAAAAATTTTTAATCTATATTGTTGAAAGTATTACAGGTGTCCCATTTTTTCCCCTCCACTTGACCCCCTCCACTTCACTCCCACCCCCTCCTCAGGCCTTCAGCCCATTATTGACTGTGTCCATGGGTTATGCATATATGCATATAACTTCTGTGGTTAATCTCTTCCCACCCTCCACCCCCCTTCCCTCTTTCCTCTGAAATATGATCGTCTGTTGCATGCTTCAATATCTCCGGATCTATTTAGTTCATCAGATTCTTTTGTTCATTAGCTTCTTCTTAAAGAAGACCCTTCAACATTTCCTGTAGTGCTGGTTTGGTGGGGATGAACTCCTTTAGCTTTTGCTTATCTGTGAAGCTCTTAATCTGACCTTCAATTCTAAATGATAGCTTTGCTGGGTAGAGTACTCTTGGTTGTAGGTTCTTGCTTTTCATCACTTTGAATATTTCTTGCCACTCTCTTCTGTCCTGCAAAGTTTTTGTTGAGAAATCAGCTGATAGTCGTATGGGTGCTCCCTTGTAGGTAGGTAACTGCTTTTCTCTTGCTGCTTTTAAGATTCTCTCTTTGTCTTTAACCTTAGGTATTTTAACCCTTTGCGGTTGTATTAAACTTGGACATGGGTGTCATACTGGTCGGAATTAATTTCCATTGAAAGAGCAGTGATACATAACATGCAAGATTATGAAGGATAAACAAGAGAAATTATGAACTGATACATGAATGAATAGAGTTAAGATTCGTATGGTTCCTTGCTGTGGTGGCTGAGAGCAGACATACGACCGGAACGGTAAAAAAACTTTGGTGGCTGAGAGTAGACAAACAACCGCAAAGGGTTAATTATGATGTGTCTTGCTGTGGGCCTCTTTGGGTTCTTCTTGTTTGGGACCCTCTGCGCTTCCTGGACTTGTAAGTCTATTTCTTTCCCCAGGTGGGGGAAGTTTTCTGTAATTATTTTTTCAAATAGGTTTTCAATTTCTTGCTCTCTTTCTTCCCCTTCTGGCATCCCAGTAATA